CAGGCNCTGGATCCGGGACTGGAGCCGCACTGAATTCCCGACATCACAGCAGCTCCATCATATGACTGAGCGATACATTCCCCAGATCGAGCCCGCATCGTCCCAGTAGCTCAAGGATGCCATTCGAGATCGCTTGCGCGTTGAATTCCTTCAAGTGCAGGAAGCCGATGAATCTCTCGGCGACTTCAGATCCACGAACGTATCGCAGGCACACACTGAGTTGCTCTGAACCTCCGTTGTCACGGGTTTCGTCTGCCATTATTGCATAGCATGGACTGTCTCCTAGCTCTGCGCGGATCATTTGAAGGGCGAGGTTGCAACTAATCTCGAGCAGCTCATTTTGGATTGAGTGATGCGTGTACTGAGCGTTGCTCGGAAGTCGAGATGCGTCTGTGACCATCTCAGGACATTTCTTCTTGAAAAGGGCGAGTATTTCGATGAAGTTCCCCCTGTTTCTGGAGTCGGACTCCTCTCTATGCCCTCTGATCGCTATGTCCTGTCTCGCGCATAGGAGAAGAACTTCTGCATGAGAAGACAGCACTCTCCGATGCCGTAAGATGTCCTCCTTGCTCTGCGAAACTACTACGAGACGACACTGATCCGTTTTTTTTCGAGGACAGATAAGCCGAATATTTCTCCACCGAGAAACAGTGCTCAGAACTACCGTAATGCTTCCGAAGGTTTTTCAGAGCATTCAACCAGTCCGAGTATCCAGTGACGAAGCTCGAAGGCTTGTTCTTCGAGAAATGTCTGCATACAAAGCAGAATGCTGCGTCCTTCAACCGCGAGTATTCCAGAAGTGGGAAATGCTCATACCAGGAACAATTGAAGCCACGTCTCTGGGAACCTAGGATTTTTCTCGGGAAACCGTCCCTGGGCTGAATGGGCGGGCCATCGGGATTGCTGCTGATGTCAAGTAGGGTGGATACCTCCGGGCAATCGACGAAGCCAGACTGGTCCTCAGGCTCGAGTTCCGAAACACGCACGGGGTCGCCTGACGAGAGATCTGTCTCACCGCTTTCTCTTTCCTCGTACTCTTGGATATCGTCGGAACTTCGCGGCTTCACGAAGAAGCTGGTCATCAACTTCTGCATATTTCTGCTGGGTGGATAGAATCTTCGAATTGGATTCGAAGAGTTTGGGAGTTCTAGGCTCTCGGTCAGATGTTGATGCCAGATATCAGCTGGGGTATCACCAATCATGAAATCGGAAACCGACGTTTGGAGGTTGCGTGCGTGTGGTGCGTCCAAGCGCATGTGCGCGATCAAGTCTTTCTCGTGACCTCGAGAAATTCAACCCGGCATGATCGAAAGCAGCAGTCTGAGTGCTCCGAAGCCGATGGAATATATGATCGGAAAATTTTTGGGAAGCTAAGCTTCCCGACTTCAGAGGCTTGGGAAGCTATAGCTTACAAAGCTTCCCGCTGGCGCCGCCACTGCCCGATAGGCTCTTACTCTTACTGCTACTTGATTCTTGGACAAGTTTCAAGGACCACGCGTGCATCCAATCGCTTGTCCCGGATGGCAAAACGGTCATCATAGAAAACATTCCTCCGGGAGCAACCGGGACAATACAGCCCTGTGACGTGTATCTCTTTCGGGTTTCCAAGGATTTCGCGCGTCAGATCCATCACCATGTGATAGATCGTCACGCACAGTTCCGTGTATCTCTCCGTGAGAATATTCTTCTGATTCTCGAGTTAGTCTGGAATCAATTCCGTAAACCGGATTTCAGACCGTTCCTCCAAAATTCATGGAGGAAAATCGGTTACATTGAAGCAGAGCCCGTGCGCCTCAAAATCCCCGTTGTGGTCTGCCTCAAATTGGAGGGCGTCCACGGTTGTGACGTGGGTGACTCAGGTTCGAATAAATCTTTCTTCATGTGCTCATGTGCTCATACTGCCTACGATTACAATACTCATGCTTCCATCACTTCATTGTCGCCAAGCATCTCCACTGATTTGTTCTTGCCTTCATTCGGGTTAAAAAACTCTTGTAACCATCATCTGATGCTTTGTTGCTCATTGCTCATAACTGCTTTTGACTGTCCAGAGACAACGATGGGAATACGGTCCGACCCCGGAGAGTCTTTCCAGACTACGTGTGACTGAGATGCTCTCCATGGAGAGAAACATCAGAAAACGACTAGTGAGAGCCCACGAGTCCTCTTGAGTCGCGAACAAGTTTCGAGAGCTTGAGGGGAGGAGTCAGGCTGAAAATCGAGGTATCCGGGAGCGAGAATCGCTCGCAATCTCAGACGATGCGACAGAGTGCGGTCAAAAGAGCTGACGTAGGTAGACATCGATATGAGAGTCTGCTTAGCCTCGGCCATGTGGCCGTCGTGAAGGCTGCCATCGCTCGACTCATCAACAGCACTAACCTCTGAAGCGCGAGGGAAAGATCCCGAGGTCTCTCCTAGAGTCGATAGAAGTCGAGCAATAGACGAGACTTGAAATTGAAATCGAAATCGAACTCGGCCGACGGAACTGCGAAGGAATGATGCGTGACTGAACAGGAAGCCGGTGACTTCATCGACTGTAGTCGACACTTCGACAACTTCAGGTCGCCGAGAGGCGAGAGGCCCGACTAGAGAAATCGAGGGAGTCAATCAATCAATTAGAAGGAGATTTGCAATGATTTTGTGATCAATCATCTCGATCGACCCCTTTACCGTATGATAGGGGGCTCGAGTCTGTTCAGCCATCTCCGGGATCCGAAGAACTGTCCGACGTCTCACGAAACCATTGACGCAGTCAGGTTCTCGTCTACCGTGTCCGAGATCGTGCAGAATTCGATGAGACCACTCGGAAGACTTCGACATCTCCGTAGACTTCATCTCGACACGCTGTACACGACGACGTCGCGTATCTTGAAGTTTGAGCCACTTACTCAAATGATCGGTCGCGAGAACTAGCTGGCTAACCCGAGTTAGCTTGTGCCACCGAACAGACTCCACGGGACGGAATAAGTGTACTTCGTGGATTTCCCAAACGCTGTTATATTCTTAACGGCGCGTGGGTTCGTTGGCTAAACTGATTGCGGACCAACACATTTTGTGGCACTCACTGCGCTTTTCAGTGTTCGGCCATCGCCGATTTCAACCGCGGCTGGGGGAGCGTTGAAGACACCTTCTGCAGCTCCAGCCGGCGAACAGGTGAGCAGGTCGAGTTAGAAACGAAGCCGATTCTTAGTCCTCCATAGCCAGCGTGGCTCCGAAAGCAAGTATATGACTCACTACTCCCGGCGGCATGCGATTCCGGCAGTCAACTAGAAACCTCCACCAGCAAACGTGACATGAGTACACCCCGAATCGATAGATATCCCCCTCGAGACAGGGTTTAGGTCTAGGGTCTAGTTCTGGCGCGTCGCCGCCAAGCAGCGACCGAGAGCGATAGTGAAGTCCAAGAAAATTTATTAGCGACGATGACATGACTCCTGATTCTTGGAGTCGCTCTCACTCGAATTTCACAGATCCCGGCTAGTCAGCTCAAGATGGAAGACGTAAGCGATCATTGATCAGGTTTAGGGCAGGGTTGTTTTCTGGCAGTAGTGTTAGCGCAAACGCTAACTCTTCCGATGGGCCTGCAAAGCGAATTCACATTTCATCAGACTGCTAAATTTTCTCGCAGAGCGAATCGTTCGGCGTTTTTCGATATCATTGTCGATATCATTGGCTGTGTCGCTTCTCCCACTCAAGCGTAGACAATCCTGGGTTTGCAGCCGTTCAGAAGCTAGCGTATGAATGAAGACCGAACTGCTAACTCCTTCGAAGTCAGTATCGAGAATCGAGCTTCCTTATTCGGCTCGTGATTGCCTCTTCCCCGGTGAGCTCAGTTCAGTCCGTTCCGTACTGCTTAGACTGTCCACAGAGCCCAGAGCTCCGGTACTTGAAGCTGTCTAGTTCATGAGAGATCAAGGGCGTATCGCGCTAAAGCGTTGACTGAAGTCGAGGATTTGTGGCGTCTCTCGATGACCTCGACTGCGCACGATATTTGGAATTGATTGTCAGCCATGTACGAATGCAGGAGTCGAGTATCCGTAAATCTACTGCTCGAAGAATTTCACTCTCACTACATAAATGAGCGACGATGCGGACATGTCGGGTCACATAGCTACGGTGGAGGCAATGGCCCAGGATCTGACTGATATTGGGCATAAACTGATCCGAGTCATGCGATTGCAAGGATGTTGGAATTGCCGAAAGGATATCTCCATCTAGTGTCAGCATGAGATGTACTCGATGCGAGCAAGGAAAAAATGGAAAACGAGTGATTCCTCGCTTCTTGGAAGCTAGGAACTTGGATTCAAATGGCTCATCGAAGGTTGCTGATTCGGATTCACTTGCCTTTTCGGCGAAACCGAATCAGAAGTATGGTCAAAAACCAAAGTTCGTTGAGAAATGTTCCAAGAAGAATCGTTGTCCTCTCCTGAGTCGTGGAGCAGGGCGCCTCTATGGAAGTCAAGAAGTCAAGCCAAGCACCAAGTCGATCTCTCGAGACTTTGGAGGTCGCCTCTCGCAGAGACTACCTCTTCAATGCTCAGCATGTTTCAGCGAATACTGGTTGGCCGATAAGGTTGCGGATCGACATATATCTCATAGAAGAGACTGGTTCCTACAATATCAGAGTTTCGACCTGTGAGGTCAGCGAGCTGTCATGTTATGCATGGTATCTCTTTATGGTATATAAGGGCAAATGTCAATTCGCTCTAAGTGGGCCTTCAGGGTGAAGTATCGTACGAACGGTTCGGTTGATAGACAAAAGGTGCACTCAAAGATAAGAGAGTGTTCACAGGAGGCTGGGGTGATCATTCCGATACGTACTCGCCCTTGACAAAGACGACTCCAATCCGCTGTCTCCTGTCCATGAGATGTGTGAGTGTCTCGTATTGAGACGTGACTACCGCCTTCCTTTACAGGGGGAGTGGACGAGAGTATCTACATGCAGTAGCCCGAAGGCTTTAATGATGGCAGCGGTCGAGTGTGTAAGCTCGAGAGAGCTCAGCATGGTCTCAAGCAGAGCCCATTTCAGTGGAACAAGAGGACTTTGGCTGTTCTCAAAGAGTTGAACTTGTGCCTTGCCTCCGGGATCCCTGCGTCTATGTCGGGAAGAAAGATTGTCTGATGTTCGCTGTGTATGTCGACGAAGGTCTCTAAGCCGCACCAAGGATCGAGTCAATGAGTTTCTGGACTTGCTTCAGGAGACCCCCAAGATGACCGGTGGACAAGCCGGTTGCTTTATCGATTCAGAGATGCTTCGAAATCGTGGGCAGAAAACTCTCAAGATTCATCAGAACATGAAAAAACTTCTGGAACGTTTCTCGATGGTAGATTGCTATCCGGTGAAAACTCAGCGCTGCTCGATCTACAGATCCAGCAAAATGTAGACGAAGACGGAACTCAATAGATTCGAGAGAGAGTTCCATACCGAGAACCGCTGAATTCCGCTATCGTTGTTCGAGCCGAGATGGCATACATAGTCAATCAACTTAAGTACCTGGATTCTCCTCCGAAGGATCACAGGTTAGTAGCGGAGCGCATACTTAGACACTCGAAAGATACCATTGGCACAGGCATCGATTGGTACTTCGCTGTCGCAGCCAAGAATCACTTAGTAGCTTTCAGTGACGCCAGTTGGGCTTCTGACCCCGAGGCTGCGAGGAAATCAGTGACAGGAATCTGTCTGATGGTGAGCAGCGGTTGGTTGGAAGTCAAGAAAACAGACCATTCTTACGGACTCCACAATTTACACAGAATACGAAGCGGTGCACTCAAGTTCCAGAGATCTCGTCTCGTTGCGGGGTCTGTTGGAAGAACTTGGCCGCAAGCAAGAGAGTGCGACCTACCTATTCATGAACAATCCAGAGTCTGAACTATTTAAGACGAATTCCGCGCAGCTTTAGAGGACGAAACATGAAGACATCGAGTTCAGTTTCGTGCGCGAGAAATAAGAAAAAGATGATAGACATGTGTTTACGAAGGATCAGCTTGCTGACATCTTGACCGAAGTTCTCCCTCCTCTGAAGTTCGAGCTCATGATACGTCGAATCAGTCGAAGTGAGGCTTCCCGGATGTCTACTAGTGGGGAAGTTGAGCTCTTTGTCGCAATCGACAGAGTTAACATTGTCAGGATAGTAGGTTAGTGGTGACTTTGTACTTATGAACTCACTTGCGAACTTTCGTTTATACAGAGCCTCGATCGGAAAATATATCAGCATCTGTTTTAATTTATCCGAGGGCCGAAGGCGACACACTAGGAGAAGATAATTTGAATAAATAAATGGGAAACATGGGTATTGCATCATCGATCAAGTCATGCGACACTCACACGCCGGAAATATCTGGTTTTCGCCCAAGTCCGTGAGTATAGCCTCAGTTTGAATACGATCCTCGTCCGTCCTCGCACCTCTGAGGACCACTTGATAATGGAGAAAAGGACGTTTCCCTGGAGGAATAACGCACCGATCGAATAAGCGTATGAAGAATGAGACATCTCCGTTATATCCAGATGACGAAAGATTATATTGAAATCCATGTCGAAGTCATTTGTACGACTAGTATTGGAGATAGACGTCTCCAGAAGGAAAGACTCTCGCATTCCCTCGGCGAGCTTTGCTTCACAATGTGCAGAACGTTCGAAGCAAGTGACACTTCCGAAGCAAGAAGACTATGAACCTTGATCTGATGTTTGCGAACATCAAGAAGTCCCCGGAGGAGTTTCACCTAGACACTTTTCGCATGATTCATTCTGCGGTCAATAATAGAATCTGAGGGTTCGGAGAACCGCATTTGATAGCTTTGGATGCCTCAAATTTCGGGAGTATACGCAGAGCAAGACAAAAATTGTGCTAGCGAGATCTACGAAGAAATGATCGTGAAAATCCTGCTCCGGTCAAAGGTGGCAGCGCCAAATCTCAGACTTCAAACGTCCAGCCCCCATCAGTAGAGTTTCCATTTAACCGGAGATTTCGATTCTGCGATTAAGCACCGCGTGCGCTAGAATGTCGAGAATGGCTGCTTTGCCGTTGTTTAGACTTTTCGATAACTATTCCGGCTCACGGACCATCATTCAGCATGGATACGAGCCCGAAGAATGAGTCTAAGCCGTGAGGCCAGAATCAAGATGTCCAGTTAAATAGAAACTCTACCCATCAGGGCATATTGTACTCACATGGAAGTACGTGGTTTCTTTGTTTTGAACCCTTCATACTTACTTGATGGGATGCAATTACCGAGGTCCTTCCAGAAAGCAGTTACTAATAAACCGGCTGTATTCTCCCGGACTGAAAGCAAAGAACACTTATAGGAAGTGAGTTCATGAGTTTTTTCTTTATTTCTTTTCATTTATATATCAGTAATTTTCCAATAATTTCGATAAGTTGAAAGAACAGGAAGAGTTTCACTGTTACCAGTGAGACAGTCGAACCCGCTCATACGAGACTCTCCGGGAAATCGGGATCAGGTTATCTCTTATAAGCGGCTCCGACTGTGGATGGAGAGATGACTCACGAAGTGTTTTTTTCTGTAGTACAAAGTTTCTGACGATCATCGAAGGGTTCCGGGGACCCCTGAGGCTTGTCCATGTCGCTCCGGGATGAAAGCTGATCATGTGCCAAGCCAAACCAGAGTTACTCATTGCCTATTTACCGCTCAACGAGCCGTCGTCGTATGCTGACGGCACTTCAGGAATAGAAAGCCAGCTGAGGTGCACCCCCGGGGTTTGTTGTTCGTTGTTGCTGATGTGCGCAACAACGAAAGAACGGCTTTCTCAAGAACGGAAGAATGCTTGCTAATAAACACCGTTCTGGGAACGTATGTTGGACAATGGGAGAGTCGTTCCTCAAGAACGCTATAGAGAAGCTCCCATCGGTGTAAATATTGAGGGGATTGTTTGTGCGAGAGACGACGAGTCTGCGAGAGGCGAGAGAAGACGCTCATTGGTAGATAGCGACGATGATGACCGTGATCTATGTCTGGCGCCAGACCCAAATCGGATCGCTTCCCTTCCTCCAATAAGGCCTCTAAGCCGCACCAAGGATCAACTCAATGAGTTTCTGGACTTGCTTCAGGAGACCCCCAAGATGACCCGTGGACAAGCCGGTTGCTTTATCTATTCAGAGATCCTTCGAAGTCGTGGGCAGAAAACTCTCAAGATTCATCAGACTGCGCACATGAAAAAACTTCTGGAACGTTTCTCGATGGTAGATTGCTATCCGGTGAAAACTCAGCGCTGCTCGATCTACAGATCCAGCAAAATGTAGACGAAGACGTAAATCAATAGATTCGAGAGAGAGTTCCATACCGAGAACCGCTGAATTCCGCTATCGTTGTTCGAGCCGAGATGGCATACATAGTCAATCAACTTTCGAAGTTCCTGGATTCTCCTTCGAAGGATCACAGGCCAGTAGCGGAGCGCATACTAAGACACTCGAAAGGTACCATTGGCACAGGCATCGATTGGTACTCC